TTCCATTGTTCAGGCCATCTAATTTTTAGTACTTTGTTATGGCAACCCTAGGAAATGAATATATTCACTGAAGGAGGTGTTATTAATTGTTCCCATTTTACAGATGAGGAAACTGAGGCCCGGAGGAATTAAAGATTTACCCAGCTAGTAAGTGATTCAAACCCATGCACTCTGACTCTAGTATCTGTGTTTTTATCCATTATACTCATTTGCCTCTTGTCTCTTTTTTAGTTAATGACCTTTGCTTTCTTAGATTTTTCACATTCTTTTCACTGCCTTTGCTAGGCAACATTGTACATATCACTTCATCTGTAGTCTCCCACTGGGCACCATGGCCTCCGCTTGCCCAGAGCTACACTGTGGTCTGTGGCACAGCAGGAAAATCTCCCTCAGTGCTCTCTCCCACTCTTTGGAGGTTTGCTAAGGTAACACAGCCTGAGCCCCAGGTTTGTCAGAATTTTCAAGGAAGCATATCTTTAGGATGTTCATTCCAGCTCTCACTCCCCAGAATCTGGACATAAATCAGTGGGGAGAGGCCGTAGAACAAGGACAAATATGAGTACTGGCTCACAATAAACTCTTGCTAATCTCTTCACCCTGTTGTCATGTATGTGCCTGTCACAAATACACATGTGTATGTAGAGAAAAATACACAGCAAGTTGTTGGATGAGAGGGGTGTGAGAAAGACTACAAGAGCTATCTATCTGTGATGAAGACAATTTGTTGGGGGTATCAGCATGTTTATTTGAAATTATGGATGTGAAGAGGCGCCTGGGTGGCTCAGCCTGTCAAGGGCCTGACCCTGGATTTCAGATCAGGTCATGATCTCAGGTTTGTGAGATCAAGCCCCATGTCTGCCTCCATGCTGGGCATGGAGCTTGCTTAAGATTCTATTTCTTGGCTCATCCTGCCCACCACAGCCCCGCTCTCTCTAAATAAATAAATAATAAAAAAATTTTGGATGTGTACTCATGGATGAATATATAAGGATAGTCAAAGGGTAGTCATTAAAATGTTAATAGTGATTGTTGCAGGGTCATAGAATCTCTGATTTTTTTCCTTCTACATTTTGGTGGCATAAAGGGTAATTATTATTTTTCTCATAATAATGGTGGCCCCCAGAAAGAGCATAGAAATGATAAGGATGGTATTGTCTCCTTTGTAGTGGATTCACAAGTTGGCTTCACTATAAGCTTTCTGAATCTCCTTGCTCTTTCTTCCTGTAGGATGTTTCTTTTTCTTTAAAATCATCTTAAAGATCAGAATCTTAGAAGAGATTTGAAGAGGTGATAGTAAATGAATCAGCAGTTGGGGAAAGTGGAAACGCTCACACGGTAGGCTCTTCCCTTTCTCTTTCATTTGGACAGTCTGAGTGACAGTGACATGGACTAAGGAGCCTTCCTTCCCCACCCATTCATTCGTGCTTGGCCATATGGATCATAATGACCAAGGCAGTCTGTTCAGGAACCTCTGCCCATGTGCATGGCCAACACACAACAGTCTTGGAGCAAATGAATACTGGCAGGTTGTCATCAAAGCAATAAGCCCATGGTCCGAAGAGAATAAAGTTGGTGCTCTTAATTACCAGTTATGGTACTGTTTTGTACACTGATACCTCCAATATCTAAAAACCATCATGTTGTCAGTATTCCTCCATTTGGCCTGGAGAGTTAGAGCATCGCTCGTACCTATCTGGTTTTCAAGGTCAGTGAATTTTATAAAATTCTTTGCCAAGTAGCTGCTGTGATATGAATAAATTTATGTGAAAATGAACTCAGCCAGCTAGTTATTGAACAAGATTTTTTTTAATGGAATGTACTGACAGGAGAGAAGAGAAGGCAAACATAAAGAGTGAATAATAACCTAATGAATAGAGCTTTTTTTTTTTCCCCTCCTTCAGTTCATGAGAAACAGTAATCAATTTTTTAAAGACAGATTTTCAAAAGTCAAAAGGGAAGGAAGGTGGAACTTCAACTCCGTTCAGACAGAGGAAAGAAATAAAGCACCTCCAAGGGAAAAAAAAAAAATAATGGCATGGATGTAACAAAACAGAACTAAATGCTTGAATTAATTTTTTTTTCAGATATAGGAGGGTGTGAACAGTGATGCAAAACAAAAACATGTATAGGCTTAACCCACACTTTTTAAAGTTACATTGAGTACCTCTTCCAAAATACCCAGCTGCAACCAGACTAAGTTTCCTACAAAGGCCAGTTGTTTAAAAAAAAAAAAAAAAAAGGGCAGAATGGTGCTTTCAGGTAGGCCAAAATCATAACAATGAGAGCCACCTGGCATATTACTAAGCGAAAGAAGCCAATATGGAAGGCTACATACTGTATGATTCTAGCTATATGACATTCTGGAAAGGGTAAACCTATGCAGATAATGAAAAAGATCAGGGGTTACCAAGGGTGGGGGCCGAGTTGGGGAGAGGAGATGAAGAGGCAGAGCACAGAGGAGTTTTAGGGCAGTAAAAATAATCTGTATGTTATAATAATGAATGCATGTCAGTATTTGTCCAAACCCATAGAACAAACATCACCAAGAGTGAACCCTAAGGTAAATTATGGACTTGGGGTGATTGTGATGGGTCAATGTACATTCATCCTTGGTAACAAATGTGCCACTCTGGCTAGTGGTATTGATAATGGGGGAAGTGAGGCATGTGCAGGGGAAGGGAATACAAGGGAAATCTCTATTTTTCTCTCAATTTTATTGTAAACCTAAAACTGCTCTAAAGTAGTCTTTTAAAAAAATTACTGTAATACCATTATCATACCTAAAAAAGAGAAAAAGAAGAAAGAAAGAAAGGAAGGAAGGCAAGAGAGACATTTTAGATTTCTCTTTTCAGGCAGTAATGGACCAAGTGAAAAGAAAATTATTAAAATATTTTGCTAGAGAGGTTATTACAGAGTACTTTATAACACATTGTCTATGACTATTCTCTGTTAAATACATGAATAGGCCTAGTCCTTTGGAGATTTAGCAGATACTTGTCTATTTTTTTTCCCCATTCCAAATCAGAAACAATTTTCTCAGCCCAAATTTTTGGATCGCTAGGTCTATGTGAAAGTGCTTTCTTTATAGGTGTATCCATACCCCAAAACTTGACAGGGGCTAAATTTCCAAAATTAACTTGCCAGGCTTCCCTTTAGGCAAGAGATCCCAAATTACTGTGGTGTATTTTTGCTTTTGTTTTTGAGTATTTCCTTCAAGCTTTAGTTTCCAAATATTTTTTGAGTCTGAGGACTATGCAATTTTTGGACTAGACTGTTGGACCTCAGGCATAAATTCCAATTCCAAAGCCTTCTCCTAGGAATGTCAATCTCTAGTCAAACACTCAATTTTCTAGAGTGCCCCTCCTTTGTTCTTTCAAGGGAAGCTAGGGCAGAAATTCATTCAGGTTAGCTTACTAAATGGCCATCTTTGGGCTAATTGTCCCCAAACAAACAAAATCATCTTATGACTTCTTCCTAAAGTTTGACAATTGGGATCATCATTTTGAGGATACAACTTATTTTAAGACTTCCTGGGCTTTTCCATCAGAAGATACTGGAGTTAAAATACTAGATATGTTTTATAAGGGAGTTCCCTTTTACATTATTGAGGATTAATCCTTACTTTTATGGTAGAGACTTTTTTCGAATATCTGGAGATGCTTGGCTTTCTGTTCATATTTAAGAGCCAATGAGACACCATCTTGGGAGTATGTGCATACAAGGGTGGCTTCTCAACTGAAAAATCTAATAATCTCATTGGGATTGGGAAGAGATTTTGTTGTTTTACTGGGGTACTCCCAGATGCTGTTATCTATAGCTCTTTCCCCTGGGCCATGGCATCCCTGAAGAAGAACCCTCTTCATTCTTGCCTGAGCGTTTTATGTTAGGTGGCCGGGGTCCCTAAGGATCTGAGCTGGGAGAAAGTAGCTGGAGCCGGATGCAGGTGGACTCAGGGTTTGGTTTGTAGAGACTCAGGTAATTCCTTTTATTTCCAGTGGAGCTCTTCACTCCCATCTTTCTTTGGGGTCAGGGTCTCTTAGTTGTGAGCTCAGGAGCCTCTCTGTTCCAATTTATCCTGAGACAAGGTCTTCTGTCTTCTGCTGGAGTGTGTGGAGTGTGCAAGTGCTCCTTTCCCTGAAACATGAGAAGGCTCTTTATCTTTCAGATCTTTAGTTCATTCTTAGTTTGTCCCTTTGTAGCTTCAACTCTGAACTTAGATGTACTGAGATTTGTGAACACATAGGTATACTCCTTTATATAATCCTTTTGTAATCCTTTCTTTTTTCTTTATCTAATCCTTCATAACTTGGAATCACTTCTCATCTTATTCATCATTCCCACTAAGTTTTAGAGTCCTTGTTTTTGATCAATTGCTAGTGTCTTAGTTTCCTTATCTATACAGTTGGACTTGGTTGCTAAGGTCCTTGGCAAATCACAAGTTCTGATGAGGTAGGAAATAGGCTGAGAGGGCAGGCATTGGAGTTAGACACCCAGATTCATCTCACTGCTTTACCACTGTGCAGTCAGGGTGCTCTAGTTATAAGTGACAGAGGCCAACTGGGCTTCCTTAAACAAAAAAGGAAATTACAGGAAGGATCATGAATAATGGAGTGTGTTAACGCTGGAAAGCCAGCCTCAAAGAATGGATGCAAAACCAAGAAAGCTAGGCGGTGGGGAGGTCAGCCCAAGTTATTTGCCAGGAACAACCTGATGAGGAAGCTGTCCCTGGTGCCACTGCCATGGTATGTTTGCCACCAGTAACCCTTGGTGTCACTGCCACTGCTATTTTGAATAATTTCTCAACTCTCCCTCTACCTTTATGATGGGTTGTGTTGTGCTCTTATGACTCAACGGATGAGGAGAGGAGATTTACCTTCCTGTTTGTGTTAGAGTTCTCCAAAGAAACAGAAGCAATATCTTATTTTATTTTAAGGAATTCTATTTTATTTTCAGATATTTTATTTTATTTTATGCTCAAGTGATTATGGGGCTTGGAAAGTTTGAAATTTGCAGGGCAGACTGGCAGGCTGGGAATTCAGCTAAGAGTTGGTGTTGCAATCTTGAGTGCAAATTCTACAGGGCAGGCCAGGTATGTTGGAACCTCGGGCAGAATTTCTGTGTTGCAGCTGTGAAGCTCAATTCCTTCTTTGGGAAACTTGTCTTTGCTCTTAAGGCCTCCAACTGATTGAAGAAGTTCACCTACAAAATGGAGAATAATCGGCTTTATTCAAAGCTACTGATAAATTGTCAAGTACAAAAAAAAAAATCACCTTCCCAGTGACATCTAGACTAGTGTTTGAACAATTGGGCATGAAAGCTGTACCAAGTGACATGTAAATTTAACCACTCCGTGTTAAATTTGCGCCCTCCGTGTTCATATCAGGATCCCCCTTCAAACATCTCCTAAGTTAAAGTGCTGGGTAGGGAGATGGGGAAAAAAAAATGATTGTTATCCACGTCAGCTACTTCACTGCTTGACTTTCAGCCAAACTTTCAGATTCCGGTTCTGTAAAAATGGGGATGATAATAGTAGTTACACATATGATTGTCGGGAAGGTATGTAAAGTGTATGCAAAGCACTTATACAAGTGCTTGGAACAAGATAAGTGCTCAATAAATTAAGGTGCTATGATTTCTCATTTAAACGTTGCAATATATCCAACCGTTCATATATCCAAATTCCCACCAGGTAGGGCACTTGAGGATGAAACACCTAAACTGTGATTTGCATCCATAAGCAAATTGTGATTTATTGAACCCTTATTACCTGCCAGGTACTGTTCTGCATACCTTCCATCTATTTACTTGTATAATTTGGTTCACACAATAATCCAGTGAGGTTTGTGATTCCTCATTTTATAAAGCAGACACTGAGATTTAGAAAAATATGCATCACAACCAGAATCACACGAGTAGCCCAATGCAGGGCCTGAACTCAGGGTTTTCATGGGTCACCGGGGTGGCTCAGTCAGATGTGTCTGCCTTCAGTTCAGGTCATGATCTCAGGGTCCTGGGATGGAACCTCACATCATCAGAGGGCCTGCTTCTTCCTCTGCCACTCCCCTGCTTGTGCTCTCTTGTTCTCTCCTCTCTCAAATAAATAAATAAGGTCTTAAAAAAAAAAAAAAAAAGAATTCAGGGTTTTCTTAGTCTAAATCCCCCTTGCTCAACTACTCCTCTGTGCGGTCTCTATGTTAGTCCAGGCAGAGGGGTCATCTCCCTTCCCAGCTCCAGTTCCTCGAGTGTTACCTTGGCTTCATTGGTCTGGAAAATAAGAATCCTGAGTTCTCCCCTAAATATCAATTCAGGATGTTAAACCCTTTGGAGGAAGATCTTTGTCCTTTTTATTAGACATTAGCCTTTTTTTTTTTTTTTTTTGGGTAGTAGCTCTGCTTCGGCTTCTTTAAAAGATGGTTAATGCAATTTTGAATTTTTTGAATCAACTCACAGATGTAGAAAAGAAAGAAAATAGAATTTAAAAAAATATTTCCTTTCAAAAAAAACCAAACAAACCAAAAAACCTCCTTTCATACAATTAGAACAATTCAAAATGAAACAAAATTCCTTTCATAAAAACTAATCTACTTAAAACTACTTAAATAAATTTAGGGTACCATGGAAATTGTTAATTTTTGGATATTAACTATTAATAAAATTTTGGATATTAACTATTAATAAAAACAGTTTTGAAGGTTGGAATTGTGGCATACTTCATAATATCCATCATAAAAAGATAAATAAAAATCACACACAAACCCTTTCTCTGTGGACAAAACATCTAAGGGCTAAGGGGACCTGAACAACATTAGAAATAGGAAGTAAGCTCATTTCCCAGGAGGAATCTGGATGTTAAACATTTTATTCTAGAAGTAAGTTTACTACCAGTTGCCAAAGAGAGCAGAACAACTCTTCAGACGGTAGGAAGTCAGACCTGCACTTCTCAAACTTTAATGTCCATGGACACCATCTAGGGATATTTTCAGAATGTAGATCCTCGCTCAGTGGGTTTGAGGTGAATAAAACTTGAGATGTTCTATTTCAAACAGGCTCACAGGGTGTAGCCCACATGGCTGTTAAAGGACAACACTTGTGGTTGCAAGGGTCGACTACCAATTCAAACTCATTCATTTTCCTTAATCATTTATAGTCTTTATAATGTCATGCCTTTGGAAGCCAAGTTAGAGATGGCTTCTAAAATGGCTTCAGAGACCATTCCTTCTAGATGTCTGGAGGCGAAGGAGGGGAAGGAATTGATAGGTATTGTTTGACGGGAGCTTCTGTTCCTACCGCTTGACAGGAAGTGTCTCATTTTATTCCTATAACCCTTCCACGAGAAGTTTATGTAAGAGCCCTCTTTTACAGCTGAGGAAGCCAAGTTTCAGAGAAAGTAACCTGTCAGTGCCAGTAAGTGGTGGAGTCAGCATTCGCACTTTGGTCTGTCTAACCTTACAGCCCATGTTTTTTCCGATCCCATCTGGACAGCTTTACTGCGATTACCTTTTCTTTTGACATCACTGGTTATCCTCTATTTTTAAAAGTTTCCTTAAAGAGAGCCAAATCCAATTTTAAAAATTGACACAAAATTGTTCATTAAACTTCCCTCTTACGTCCTATTTTCCCATTTCATTCTGTGTGAAAATTACTCTCTACCCAGGAAAGGCCTTGATGCTTTGTGCTGAGCTGACTGACAAAGCATTATGATTTAAAAACCATCCTGTTCCTCTCTCCACAAAGCCCCAACCTTTGATCTTTTCTCAGGAGCAATTTCCAATCAGCCCTTTTTTCAAAGCTTGTAAATGTTTGGTATGCCGTCTTATCCAGACTCTTTCCCTTCCCCCAAAGGAGAGGTTGAGACCTTCAATTCCCTACTGTCATTACCAGTCTATTGGAAGTCTTAGTGTAGGATTTGGTTTTCTACAGTGAAGGCAAAATCAAATATAGCAAACTTCATGCTCTGGCTGTGTTTACACACTTTAAAACTAAGTGGGGTTTGGTAATTACCTAGTTCATTTGCTCTATGCAGGTGAAATCAGATTATTTCAGCACTTTTGATTTTTATTATGTTTGTTTGACCCTCTTTACCCAGAAACATAGTTAGCATGATTCAAATTAATTGGATAATTGCTGAATCACCATTTTACCTTGCAATACAATCTTGTGAAGATTCTGGCATTCTAGAACAAAGAGAAGGAATAAGTTATCTAGGAGTTTTACATTTCTTTTTTATTGCTCAACTTTCTTTAAAGGCAAGCCAAAAGATAAAATAAACAATAGTAGGGCTACCTGGTTTGAATATGTGATGGAAATTTTGGAGCTTCGTCTTCTCATCCTTCTTACTCTGGACATATTCCCCTGAGATGGAATGAAACATTGGAAGAGACACAGACTGTCAAGTCAGGACAGACCTACGTTCAAACCCTGACTCCTAAAAAGTTATCGTAGCTCTGACTGATGACTACTGGTTTAGGCTCGAGCATAATGTATACTTTTATCCCAAGACTATTCATTTTTGCTAAAATATGTGACTTTTGAAAAAATAATTAGTATTAATAAGTAACTTATAGGAGTGTTTCAGTATTTCGAGGAGGAGTCAAGATGGCGGAGAAGTAGCAGGCTGAGGCTACATCAGGTAGCAGGAGATCAGCTAGATAGCTTATCAAACCATTGCAAACACCTACAAATCCAACGGGAGATCGAAGAGAAGAAGAACAGCAATTCTAGAAATAGAAGTGTTTCAATATTTCTATGACTATTTGAATTTCCTTAGCTGGCATTTTATTCAAAGACCCAGATTCAGCCATTTCTTCTTCCTAAAATCAAGTTTTAGGGTCCTGAGACAATAGAAGTTTTAGGAATAAAGGACACAACACTTGTGTTTTGAATTTACTTGTTGCTTTTCCTTGCTGAGGTCTCTCTTCAGGTGAGGCCTTGCCATAACATACATAATCTAAGAAATGTGTCAGATGACTATGTGACTTTCAAGATAGTCTATATGTCATAGTCACCTGCAGACCAGCATTATTGGGGTAAAGGGGTGTGACCTGCATGACTGTTAATTTAGAAAAATCAAGAGTTGATTCTAATGCATCGTCAGGATGAGAATTGCTGAATAAATCTATTGAAAATAGGTCTTTTCATTTTGGTCATATTTAATGGATTCAGGTCCTGAATAAATTATATTTTTATTTTTTTCCATTCTCTTGTCAGTGTTCCAAAATTCATTGTTTACGCACCACACTCAGTGCTTCATGCAATACATGCCCTCCATAATACCCACCACCAGGCTCACCCCCCACCCACCACCCCTCCAAAACCCTCAGTTTGTTTCTCAGAGTCCACAGTCTCTCATGGTTCATCTCCCCCTCCAATTTCCCCCAACTCCCTTCTCCTCTCCATCTCCCAATGTCCTCCGTGTTATTCCTTATGCTACACAAATAAGTGAAACCATATGATAAATTGACTCTCTCTGCTTGACTTATTTCACTCAGCATAATCTCCTCCAGTCCAGTCCATGCTGATACAAAAGTTGGGTATTCATTTTTTCTGATGGAGGCATAATACTCCATTGTATATATGGACCATATCTTTACCCATTTGTCCGTTGAAGGGCATCTTGGTTCTTTCCACAGTTTGGCAACTGTGGCCATTGCTGCTATGAACATTGGGGTATAGGTGGCCTTTCTTTTCACTACATCTGTATCTTTGGGGTAAATACCCAGTAGTGCAATTGCAGGGTCATATGGTAGCTCTATTTTTAATTTCTTAAGGAATCTCCACACTGTTTTCCAAAGTGGCTGTACAAACTTGCATTCCCACCAATAGTGTAAGAGGGTTCCCCTTTCTCCACATCCTCTCCAACACATGTTGTTTACTCTCTTGTTAATTTTGGCCTTTCTAACTGGTATAAGGTGGTATCTCAATGTGGTTTTTATTTGAATCTCCCTGATGGCTAATGATGATGACCATTTTTTCATGTGTCTGTTAGCCATGTTAGTTAGTTAGTTAGTTCATGTCTTCTGCCCATTTTTTGATGTGATTATCTGTTTTGTATGTGTTGAGTTTGGGGAGTTCTTTATAGATCTTGGATATCAGCCCTTTGTCTGTAGTGTCATTTGCGAATGTCTTCTCCCGTTCTGTGGGTTGCCTCTTTGTTTTGTTGACTGTTTCCTTTGCTGTGCAGAAGCTTTTGATCTTGATGAAGTCCCAAAAGTTCATTTTCGCTTTTGTTTCCTTTGCCTTTGGAGACATATCTTGACAGAAGTTGCCGTGGCTGATGTTGAAGTGATTACTGCCTATGTTCTCCTCTAGGATTTTGATAGATTCCTGCCTCATGTTGAGGTCCCTCCATTTTGAGTTTATCTTTGTGTATGGTGTAAGAGAAGGACTAAGTTTCATTTTTACACACATAGCTGTCCTATTTTCCCAGTACCACTTATTGAAGAGACTGTCTTTTTTCCACTGTATATTTTTTCCTGCTTTGTCGAAGATTATTTGGCCATAGAGTTGAAGGTCCATATCTGGGCCCTCTACTCTGTTCCACTAATCTATGTGTCTGTTTTTGTGCCAGTACCATGCTGTTCTGGTTATCACAGCTTTGTAGTAAAGCTTGAAATCAGGCAATGTGAGGCCCCAGTTTTGTTTTTCTTTTTCAACATTTCCTTAGCAATTCGGGGTCTCTTCTGGTTCCATACAAATTTTAGGATTGTTTGTTCCAGTTCTTTGAAAAGTGCCAGTGGAATTTTGATTGGGATGGCATTGAAAGTATAGATTGCTCTAGGCAGTATAAACATTTTAACAATGTTTATTCTTCCAATCCAAGAGCATGGAATGGTCTTCAATCTTTTTGTGTCTTCAGTTTCTTTCATGAGGGTTCTGTAGTTCCTCTAGTACAGATCCTTTACCTTTTGGGTTAGGTTTATTCCCAGGTATGTTATGGTTCTTAGTGCTATAGTAAATGGAATCAATTCTCTCATTTCCATTTCTATATTTTAATAGTTAGTGTATAAGAAAGCAACTGATTTCTGTACATTGGTTTTGTATCTTGCCACATTTCTGAATTGCTGTATGAGTTCTAGTAGTTGGGGGTTGGAGTCTTTTGGGTTTTCCATATAAAGTATCATGTCATCTGCAAAGAGAGAGTTTGACTTCTTCATTGCCAATTTGCATACTCTTAATTTCTTTTTGTTGTCTGATTGCTGTTGCTAGGACTTATAGTACTATGTTGAACAACAGTGGTGAGAGTGGGCATCCTTGTCGTGTTCCTCATCTCAAAGGGAAGGCTGTCAGCTTATCCCCATTGAGGATAGTATTCACTGTGGGTTTTTTGTAGATAGATTTTATGAAGTTGAGAAATGTTCCCTCTATCCCTATATTTTGAATCGTTTTATCAGGAACAGATGCTGTATCTTTTCAAATGCTTTTTCTGCATCAATTGAGAGGACCATGTGGTTCTTCTCTCTTCTCTTATTGATTTGTTCTATCACATTGATTAATTGTAAATGTTGAACCACCCTTGCATCCCATGGGTAAATCCCACCTGGTCATGGTGGATAATCTTTTTAATGTACTGTTGGATCCTACTGGCTAAGATCTTGTTGAGAATCTTAGCATCCATATTCATCAGGGATATTGGTCTGAAATTCTCCTTTTTGGTGGGGTCTTTGACTGGTTGGGGATCAGGGTAATGTTGGCTTCATAAAAAGAGTCTGGAAGTTTTCCTTCTGTCCCTATTTTTTGAAAAAGCTTCAGGAGAATAGGTATTATTTCTTCTTTGAATGTTTGGTAGAATTCTCCAGGGAATCCATCAGGTCCTGGGCTCTTGGTTTTTGGGAGTTTTTTGTTCACTGCTTCAATCTCGTTACTAGATATCGGTCTATTCAGGTTGTCAATTTCTTCCTGATTCAGTTTTGGAAGTTTATAGGTTTCCAGGACTTCATCCATTTCGTCTAGGTTACTTATTGGCATATAACTGTTGATAATAATTTCTGATGATTGTTTCTATTCCCTTGGTGTTAGTTGTGACCTCTCCCTTCTCATCAATAATTTTATTAATTTGGGTCCTCTCTCTTTTCTTTTGGATTAATTTAGCCAATGGTTTATTGGTCTTATTGATTCTTTCAAAAAATCAGCTTCTAGCTTCGTTGATGTGTTCTACTGTATTTCTAGTTTCTATCTCATTGATCTCTGCTCTAATCTTGATTATTTCCCTTCTTATGTGTGGGGTTGGCTTAATTTGTTGTTGATTCTCCAGTTCTTTAAGGTATAAAGAGAGCTGGTGTATGCTGGATTTTTCAGTTTTTTTGAGGGAGGCTTGGATGGCTATGTATTTCCCCCTTAGGATCACCTTTGCTGTATCCCATAGGTTTTGGACAGAAGTATCTTCATTCTCATTGGTTTCCATGAATTGTTTAAGTTCTTCTTTGATTTTCTGGTTGATCCAAACATTCTTAAGCAAGGTGGTCTTTAGCTTCCAGGTGTTTGAGTTCCTTCCAAACTTTTCCTTGTGATTGAGCTCCAGTTTCAAAGCATGTGATCTGAGAATATGCAGGGAATAATCTCAATCTTTTGGTATCAGTTGAGTCCTGATTTGTGACCCAGTATGTGGTCTATTCTGGAGAAAGTTCCATGTGCACTCGAGAAGAATGAGTATTCTGTTGTTTTAGGGTGGAATGTTTTGTATATATATCTATGAGGTCCATCTGCTCCTATGTGTCATCCAATGCTCTTGTTTCTTTATTGATTTTCTGCATGGATGATCTGTCTGTTACTGAGAGTGGCATGTTAAGATCCCCTACTATTAATGTATCCATATAAGTATGACTCTTTATCTTGATTAACTGTTGTCTTATGTAGTTGGCTGCTCTCATATTGGGGGCATAAATATGTACAATTGTTAGATCTCCTTGGTGGATAGACTGTTTAAGAATGATGTAGTGTCCTTCTTTATCTCTGACTACAGTCTTTAGTTTAAAATCTAACTTATCTGATATGAGAATCACTACCCCGGCTTTCTTTTGAGGCCCATTGGCATGAGAGATGCTTCTTCATCCCTTCACTTTCAGTCTGGATGTATCCATTGGTTCAAAATGGGTATCTTGTAGACAACATATGGATGGGTCCTGTCGTTTTATCCAATCTGCAACCCTGTGCCATTTTATGGGAGTGTTTAGTCCATTCACCTTGAGAGTGATTATTGAAAGATACGTTTTTATTGACATCATGTTGTCTGTGAAGTCCTCATTTCTAGAGATTGTCCCTGTAAATTTCTGCTCTATGACACTCTTGGGTTCTTTCTTCTTTTATAGAGCCCCTCTTAATATTTCTTGTAGTACAGGCTTGGTGG